GAGAGAGAGAGCGGGACACACATAGTCAAACGAAAGTAAAAGATGGTAAGAAGGTGAGTGTAACTATAACTTCATTTGAAACATCGTAAGAATAGAGTAATTCAACCATAGAGTATATCGAATAAAAAGATTATTTTAAGAGAAACAAATAAGAATATAACAGATTTTTTTTGAGCGAGACGATGACGACCGTCACCAATGGCCTTATTATCTTGAACAAACACAGGTGTCTAAATGTCATCCTCCATTTCGTTCGTTCGTTCGTTCGCTTGCTTGCTTGCTTCTTTGCCTGCTCGCTTAAGCTTGTCTTACTGTCATCAACACAACGATACACGCACACACACATATATTCCTCTGTTATTATATACACGTCTACATGTTGGTGAGATGAGAGAGTGGCACTAACGGTTGTTCGCGCCCTCATCCACCATATACAGAGAATACAATCATCTCTCTCCCTCGTTCTCCTTTTCTTTTTTTCTCTTTTATGAGTGTATATCGCACGCTTGTTCGCTTCATCGCAGACGTGGCGCGCAGTAGCGGCAACAGCAGAGCGTAATCGAACCGTGATGCGTGTCATTCTATGCCGGTTACATTTGGCATTCGACGATAGAAACACCCACATCATCAACCATCACAGAACTGTATTACTATTATCGATATAAACATGTTTATAGACTGTAAGAACGAGAAAAGAGTAGAGTATACGTGATTTTATCACCGTAATAGTGAGTTAAAGCTAAGAGGGCGAGCAATATACATAAAAAGACGGAGAACGAGGGAGAGAGAGAGGAAAAAAAAGAAGAAATGGATGAGTGACGGACTAATGCAGATCACATTTTGCGCTCACTACCATCGTTTCTTGTTGTCTCGTTTTTGTGTATTGTTAGTCTATAGTAAATAGCAACCACTGTATCGTACCAATAAAACATCCATCATTCTCCACTTTATTATATTCTTTTGTCTAACGTTCATCATTACAAATTAACGTGATTTTTTTTTTCTTCTTAATTCGTATTTTTTTTCCTTCATGTTGTCCTTTTTATTTTCTCACTCAATTGCCGATGTCGATTTATCGATCTAATTGAGTTGTCTATCATCACTATGCGTTGTGTCAAGGTTTGCATGTCTAATCCCTTAGTAGGCAGCCGAAAGCTTTGCGTCATTTTCTATATATTGTAGATCAACGCATGACCGAGCCTTCGAGTGAGTATGTGTATGTGTAGGCACTTTTTCTCTTTTATAGGTTAATGTTGGGCGGTCGTTGTTGCTTGATGATATGTCTGAGAGAGAGAGAGAGAGAGAGAAAACGCATCAACATCAGCAATGGAACGAGAAAGCGAGAAAAAAAACGGAGAGGAATAAGATTCGTTCCACATGATGAACAACGAACGACGCCGTAATTCTCTCTTCTTTCTCTCTTTATATATATATATATATATATTTATGTCGCTCGTTCGTCGATCGCGTTCTGCATCGCATCATTGCTAGCATACACAAGCACGCACGGTGCCAATCTAGGTGAATGTAAAAAACGAGGGGTATAGATATATGAGAAGAAAAATCATTGTCTTTCATGCATAAACAGCACACTGTTGTCGACACGCTTTTTTCTCTTCATCATCTACTTCTTTTTTGCTTCGTCTTTTTTTCTTCTTCTTCCTTCTTGACTTCTTTTACTCTTACATATCTGTCTATCTCAAAAACAGGAAATAACCTGTCTGTTTCTTTCTCATCGTACACACACGCACACATAGTATGCTATTTGGTTCGTTACACATGCGATTAGTCACGCTTGCGAAAATTTTTCTTAAATTTCTTTTCTTTTGATAATCATTGACTATGTTGAATTCAAATGTAAATGATAGTGTTGGACAAATATCTACACGAATGTGTTACCAAGCGGCTGATTACTTGAATAGATGAAGCGTGTCTGTCTGCCTGCCATCTCTTTTAATGTGCACGAACGCGCGTCTGGCATTTTCTTCTACTTCCTTTTTTTTTTCCTGCAAACAATTTTTGTTATTCATCTATGGACGCGGCTGCTTGCTTCAGAGAGAAAGAGAGGCAGAGAAAAGGCAGCATTGACGGCAACGAAGAGAACTCGTGCGTGAACAAAATCGATCGTTAATGAGGAGAGGAGTGTAGGCGACGACGACAGCCGCATCTATAATCTTGAAAAACGTCCTTCTATTTTTTCGGCTGTTGCCAGTGAAGCAGCAACAAGTAACACTCTTCGTTTGAAGTAAAAAAAAAACTCAGAATATGGCCTTATTTTATTAACGGTAAATATATTGAAAAAAAAAAGAACAAAAAATGACGAAATATATCGTTCTATTAATCATGTACAACCGGATATATTACATATAAACTGAGAAAAAAAAAAGAAAAAGAAAAACTTGAGTTTATCAAAGTATGTATTTAATGTAATTTATTTTATTTTTTAGATCATGACAAACATTTGCTATTAGCGTTTTTTTGTCTTTTTTCCTGTCAATAGCTGATACAATAATGACTGATAACCATTCAACTGATCAGAATAATAATAAAAACGACAAAAAAAACGTTACTGATAATAACGACGAAAAAATTGAGAATTACGAGAATGGAATAACAGAATCACTGCATAATAGTAACTATACCAGAAAATAATTAATTATGATTAAATCATTTTATTTTAGATTATGACAAACTTCGAGATTCAGCAAGTAGCGTTTCCAATGGTCTTAAAAGACGTAAGTAATTTAATTTATACTTGATTTTGTTATTTTATATGATATACTCTATTTATTTAGATAAAAATCGTTTTTGTTCATCATCAATGAATCAATTAGGTGGTGAATTTATAAATGGTCGACCATTACCAACCGATACACGTGAACGAATCGTTGAATTAGCTGAAAATGGCGTTCGCCCATGTGAAATAAGTCGTCAAGTAATAAATAATAAAATTTCAATGCTTAATCTTTTTTTATTTCTTATCTTTAGCTTCAAGTTTCACATGGTTGTGTTAGTAAAATACTAAAAAGGTAACTTAATATGTTCTAAAAAACTCTTTCAATACTATATATACATATCGTGCCGTATTTTCTCAAGATCTAGATACTTCTCCTTCTTCTTCGAGTATAGTGTAAGAGAAATATAAAAGACATTAACTTTTGGTGATGGTTACATGAAATAAATATGCATGACTAATATATTCGAATTAATCCTTTGTTTTTTTTTGTTTGTAAATCCTTTATTGAATTTTATTTCTATTTTAAAAATAGATATCGTTTATTTGGTACAACACATCCAGGTTTAATTGGTGGTTCAAAGCCAAAAGTAGCTACACCTGATGTTGTTCGACGTATACGTGAATACAAAGGAAATAATCCTCAAATTTTTGCTTGGCAAATTCGTGAAAGTCTTCAAAAAGAAGGCATATGTCCTTCAGATAAATTACCAAGTGTATCATCTATCAATCGAATTGTTCGTAGTAACCGACGATTTGTTTTTAATAATGATGGAAGTATTACTGGTATGTGGATTTATTTTAGAAAAGTATAAAATATATTCCTTTTTGTTTTCTTTTCGTAATAGAATTAGATTCTGATTTTGATTCTCGTGATGGAAGTGATAATGAAAATGAGAATTCTATTAAATCTGAGGTATAAAAAAAATAACGTCAAAACGAAATCATTGAAAAATAAATTTTATTTTTAAGCCAAGTCAAATATCATCACCATCATCATCATCATCTCGTTCGACTAATATTCGTCATCGTGGTGATTGTCGATGTGATGTTTGCATAAAAAAATATAAATTTGCTCCATCATTAAATAATTCAACAAAAAAATCAACAAATCTTGATCAGGAAGAAACAAGTAATAGAATATATTATTTTTCATTAAAAACATTCAATCTACTTTCTTTTCAAATCAAATAGGTGATTCGAACAGTATGTCAATGACAGCAGCTTCCGATGATGATCAAATCAAACAATCACCTCCACCACCGCCACCACCAGCAACACATTGTCGTTTAACATCACCATCAATTAATGATGATACTAAACCGCTTGATTTATCAAAAAAACAAAATGAACAACCATTAAATTTATGTTCAAAACGTAAACGAAATACACCTGTTAGTTTATCAAAACGAAATAAAACAATAACATCTACACCGCCGCTTCCTTCATCAGTTCCAAATAATCCAACATCATCAATGTTTATCCCATTTTATGCAATATCACCATTTTTTGATCCGAATCAACAAGAAATGTTTCAACAAATGCAAACACTTTATTTACAATTACAACAAAAATTAACAAAAAATGACTAAAATTTCATTTATTTGAATTCGACATCGATCTAGTCAAATAAAAATACACACACATCTATATATATAGAAAAAGAAATGAAAACAAACTTTACAGACATTTTTCTTTTGGAATTATTTTGTGAAATGATTATTGTATCTATATTTGTTTGCTTGTAATTTACAGTCGTTAATTAACTTCTTTTTTTTCTGCTCCATTGTTTCTCTTCCTCAGTTTGATTTTCTTCTTTTTTTTTTCGAATGAGAATGAATATGTGCCATTGAAAGGAATTTATTAATTGATTCGATATAACAGAACTAAGGAATACTATGAGATTGAAAATTAATCAGTTACGCATCATATATCACGCAAAGAGAGAAAAGAAATGTATTGTAATTTATTATTTATTAAAAATATTTCTCATGAAAATAAATTTCTAGTTAAAACATCTCACAATAGATTTCTATGATAATGTGATAAGCTTTTGATTTTGATATAACGATTGATACTAAATTATTAATTGTTTAATAGTAATTTACTCGACGTAATATTATACTCAAAGATTTTTAAAAAAAGTATACTTGATCAAGTATGTGATACATAAGATATGTAGACAATTTCTCGACTAAAGATTCTTCACGTCATTTTCTGTATTTTTAACCTTGACTTCAGGAAGGCTACATTAGGAAATTCTTATTGTACTTTAGTAACATCAAGAAGCATTCATACCAAGACACAAAAAAAACTGTCATTTTAATTTTTTTTTCTGTCAAAATCAAACTTTATCATATATATAAGATAAAACATGCAGATATACTCTTATATAATTGTGCTATTCTATATCGTGAGAAAAGTAACATTTTATTTCAGAAATATTTGAAAATAAAACTAATCATGTTCCTTTTCTTTATGATAAAATATAGGATTTAATATTTTTTACACATATTATTCGAATTAAACTATATCTCTTAGCTAGTTTTGTATTTAACAAGTTGTATATTTGTTTCAAGGTCATCTCATAACATCATAGGTCATTATATGACCTATTGAGCTATAATATGCCATATAAATAACATAAATCATACGGTTATATAAAAAAAAATTTGTAACGAAATAATACTCGTCATGAGACATATTGATCAAGAAACAATAATTATTAACAGATATATCTCAGCTGGAATCGATTTATATTCTTTATATTTTAATAAATCACAATTGTATAAATATAGGAATAATTTCAAATGATTTAATCGGTAGATAAGTAAGAAAATGTTTCATGTCTATATAGAAAAATTTCTTTTGAAAAAGATAAATAATATGTATATGTATATATATATAGATTAATTATATTTTCAAAAGCTTTTATTGTTCAGATGTGACGATGTTGTATGTAATCAGTTTATACAAATCAAATTATATTTCTGTCTTTGCAATCAGAATTAAAAGAAACATTTGATTAGGGAACAAGAAAGAATTTTATTTTGCTTTTTCTTTATTTGATTAAACGAGATTTCGATTGAGAAATCTTTTGAGTATAAAACGTAAAATCTCCTGATTGAGCATGCTAAAAATAGACGAAGAAGAAGGAACAGATGTTGGTACATAATTACGTCTCGTCTTTTTTCGTTCTCTCATAGCTTATCATTATATGATCTTGATTGAAAAGAAAGAGAGAAGAGAAGAGAAGAAAAAAGAAGAAAAGAAAAGAGAGGAACATGTTTTGTACATCTGACGATTAATAGAATAGATAGTAGTATCAGACTGAACGAGACATATTAATCTTTCTTAGTCATGTCTCCTATGATGTATCTTATTCTATTCATTGTTCTTTTTAATACAATAACTCATATTGAAGCATCAGAATCTGGATCATTCATTAATAAATTATCTCGAGCAGCACAAAAAGTTAAAAATGAACTTGTGGAATTTTTTTATCGTTTTCGATCGTTTTTTGTTCGTCATACAGAATCAACACATAATTTAATGACAAAAAGAGGTTGTGGATATGCAGTTGATGATGAACCAACAATTTATACTAAACGTGCAAATATTATAAGTAAAATAAAAGGTGGTGATGATGCTATTTGGCATACATGGTAAAACAAAAACAATATTTCAACAAAAATAAAATTCATTTCTTTGTTTTTTTCGTTTTACAAAAAAAGGCCATGGATGGTTTCTTTATTTACAAATCCACGTCATGGTTGGAGTTGTGCCGGTGTACTTGTCAATGAAGATACAATTTTAACAGCTGCACATTGTTTAATACATACAACTGCGACTGAAATAAAAGCAATTATTGGTGTTCATACTATTCTTGGAAAATTAAATCCATTAAATTATCGTTCTGTTAAATCTATACATCGACATCCAAATTTTGAAAATTGTTGTAAAAATGATTTAGCTGTTATTAAGCTAACTAAACCTGTACTTTATGGTCCAAAAATAAATTCGGTTTGTTTACCATTTCAACCGTATTTATCTATTGGAAACGATCAAGAATTAATTAATCGTACAGGTGTTATTATTGGATGGGGTGATAGTTCACAAAATAGTTTGAAAAATATAATAAAAAGTTTTACATTACAACAAGGTAATCGAATAATGAATGATAGATATATGTCATTTATTGTAAATATGTCGAACGAAAGAATGATCAAAGTTGTTTTCAATAACAATAAAGAAAAACTGTTGAGTCGTTTGATAGAATTATAAACTTAAGAAACGAAAATTATCTTTGTTCGTTACTAAATTTAATTACGGAAAGAGATAAATATTATATTTTTATAATTTAGCTGATGTACGTATATTTAACAATTCTTATTGTCATGAAGTGTATGATTCCGTTTTTGACCCAACTACAGAAATTTGTGCTGGTGATTATAATCAACGAGCAGATACAATGGTTTGAGAATTTATTTATTTTGTTTTTTTT